TTTTTATTTTTTTTTTTTTTTTTTTTTTTTTTTGGTCCTGACCTGTGATTTCATATGTATAGGGAACACTGGTGGGGGAACTTTTTTTCACTCTTGCAGATAGGTAGTTACTCTGTAATTGAAATCTTGGAGAGTTGCTTGGGGAACTGAGTGTTTAAGTGACTTACCCAGTTGAATGTGTCAGAGGCAGTATGTGAACCCAGGCCTTCCTGATTCTAAAGCTAGGTCCTCCTCATCCCACTACCTCTCACTTTAATATTTCCTTGTGTCGATTTAAAAATATTTCTTTACATTTTGTGATGAGGGAGAGGGATAACTGTAGTATTCTTAATTTTCCTTTGAGAAAGAAGTGAGACGCTATTTAATACAATATGTTTATTCAAGAGCTTCTTGTATTTGGTCTTGTTTTTTATTTTGCAAAAACAGTAGCATTTTCTATTTACAAAAATTCCTCCAAGGGAAACTGGATTCCTTTGCTCTATTTGCCCAATATGGAATACCTTTTCAAGAAGTAATCATTCTAACTTTTCATGTGTCTGCTACAAATTTTGAATAGTACTGAAAATGTAAGGGTCGTTAGAAATAATTTGCTACCTATATCCAGACTTTGTTGCCAATGTTATAAGTACCTACCGTAAGAGTGGTTTAAAATAAACATGGAAGAGATTTTTGCCATTGCACTGATTAATCCTTGACGAAAGACTATATTATCTTTTTTATTGTGCTATATTATCTAAATTCTCCGTATATTAGCTGGTATTTTTTTAGGAACCTGATGATGTCCTATCAATGCTATACCTCTGTCCTTTCAATCATCTTCTTTAGAAGGTCAAATTAATATGCCATTACTGTTCATAAAATGTCCTAAAAGTCAGTAGTATTTTTTTACAGTTGAGATTTTTATGTGGATGTACTTTTTTTTTTTTAAGGCAGTTGGGGTTAAGTGACTTGCTCAGGGTCACACAGCTAGTAAGTGTCAAGTGTTTGGTCTGAGGCTGGATTTGAACTCAAGTCCTCCTGACTTGAGGGCTGGTGCTCTGTCCATTGCACCATCTAGCTGCCCTTGGATATACTCTTTATACCTAATTTTTAACACAACTTGCAAATGACAGGATTCTTTACTGATGTTCATCCATACCCATACTTTCGTCAAAGAATGCCGTATTTCCACACAAAAACCCTTGAGTCTGAGTTTGCCATAGCTTTGTGACTCTGGGCAAACCATTAATGCCTGAGTTTCCTCATCTGTATGAAGAAGTTACATTTCAGGAAGGTCACTTCCTGTTTTAAATTCTCTGATCTTCTATTTTTTGA